GCTGAAAGAAAAGAGGTAACTTATTGCGTATGTTAATGGATCCGGCTATCTAATTCTTATAAATAGTGTGTGTATCGTCTTGCTGATGGCATGGGTGGGTAAAATATTCTGTCATATTATAGAGCTCACTAGCAAAGGGAAGTGACAGTGGGCAGCATATCGGAATGCGGTGTAGTATAGTTAGAAAAGAATTCGCAAGCGCTTTCCTTCGAGAGAGTATTGCCAGCGCCTGAGACCCGCGATTCCTATTATATATTTTTATGTCGTGATTTATTTGATGTAGAGAAAAGTGCATACTAATGTTTAAGGATGTTCGTCGTTTGCTTCAAAAAAGATTTCTTGTTGGCCCCAAGCACAGAAATGGAATTAACAATGGGAAACATGTATTGAATATTCGTGTAAATGCATCAGATGAAAAATATATTGAAACACAGGGGACTTCTTTGTCTCGCTACACAGAATCTGTTAGAATGATGAAATATATTTTTTTACAAGTTTGTCTCCACAAATCATCACTTTTCACGAAACGAACATTAAATGTTGAATAACTTCCGTGCTTGACGGCGGTCGATAAAATGGTATTGGAACTTTTATTTTTAATTCGTTTGTACGCTACCAGAACTTCGGTCCAGAACTGCTATATTATAAATTGAAAATTTACCTCCACATCTTCATCTTTGAAAAAATTGAACATTAACAGATATTGGAACTAATTTCGTGTGTTGACGGGGACAGAAAAGTATATTGAACATTAGAATTCTTGGTCGATATCCCAGAGTTCTGTCGAACTGATGAAATATAATTTGAACTTTTTTCTCGCCAATATCACTTCAGACTAGTATTCCACAGAGGCTTAGACTTTCCCGTATTAGTTTTTTATTTATTTTATTATCAGCTGCATTCGACAAGTAACATTTTTTAACATTTTTAATTTTAGAAGAATAAAGGCATGTATTGGTGCGCAATTTTGCCCACAGAAAACTCTAATAGCCAGGCTTGTTACAAAAATGTGATAAATATTGTCTCTATTACAAAATCGGATCAATTACAATACGTTACTTTTTCACGAAGAAAGAACGAGAAAGGTAATAATACTGAGAGGGCGGAAATTAATTTTGCCTCCTCCACTCTGAAAAACTCCATCCCGAAAAACTGGATGCACCCTGAGATCGATATAAATTATTCGAAAAAAAAATGATAAATATTTGAATGCATTCCTTCTTGTTCTTCTTGTACTCATGGAGTAATACAGCGGATCACGGGGGGATGGGCGATATGGAAATTCCACCCCCAAAAAAATTCAGTAACTATAATTTTAAATTTTCCGATTTCAATACCTAGTGTGCTACAAAAGGACAAACGCCCGGTATTTTCGACACAATTACGCGAAAACTACTAAATTTTTTCTACAAGTGGTTATTGGACCTCATTTAAAATCTTCTTTAGAACAGATTTCATTAAGAAAAAATCTCATCTCCAGATTTTAAACTTTTTACTTTAAACTTTTGCAATTTCAAAAATCAGGGGTTTTACAACTGAGACATACATTATCTAAATTCTCACAGTGATTTAACAAAAAATTATGGAGCCATTTTTTTTACAATAATTTCATAAAAATCATCAAATTATTTTGAAAAATGTCTTTGGTATAAAGTATCCAAATTAAAAAAACGGTTCAAATTCCATGGGCTTGCGACTTCAGCCGAATCGATTGGAGAAACTTAAATTTAGGAGAAACGGTTTAGCTCTGCGTTTCACAGACGCACAGACAGGTTTTGCCGTCATCGTCGATTTTCGCCTATCAAGGACCAAAAAATGGATCTGGAACGACTAAGTGTGAGAGGGTTTCCACTTAAGTATAGCAGTAGATTTATCCACTTGTTTTCGTTACGAGTTCTGTAATGTAAGTGGTTCGCTGCTGAAAATTGTGCGTTTTTCGCGCACCATTACATAATCTTCTCTCTACTCCGTAAAAATATTTTGGAATAATATTAAGCGACGCTAAATAGTATCGAGCATGAGCTAAGTCTAGTCTGAAATATCAGCGTAATGTTTATATGACACATTTCGTTAGCCAAAACTTTTGGATAAAATTTATTTAATTTCTCGCTTACACTCACTCAAAGTGGGGCATTTGTATACTATCTTAGGAAGGGAAATGTAATAACTATGTGGGGATTTTGATGAACAAAACATCATTAAATAAGATAATAAATACCTTAAATGTTTTTTAAAATGCTCTAAAAAGCAAAGACAGTGACAAATAGTGTGTGAGAGAATGGATATGTTACTGATGTAATGCGCAGTTGCAATCGAGGGGGGGCATGCCATCGCCAAAAGCCAGAGAGAAAAAAATGGTAAAAGTGCAGGAAAATAAAAATGAGACGCAAGAAAAATTTGTAGAACGTCTTAAATTATCGAAAAAATAACTCGCGTATGTCTTAGACCTTAGATACAATGGGAATTTTGATTCTCAGCTGTATTTTAACCAGTGGTGGAGGGTGCTATTGGAAATTGCTTCGACTGTTCTCCAGAAGCTGTTGACAGCTAGATATATTTTTTTACTTCCGTTGACAAGCGGTGCGTAGCGTCGCGACTTTCGACATTATGGGAGTGTGTCGATGCAAATCTGGAAAACTGTGTGTGGGATAGAGATCTCTCTAGCTGCTCAAGCGAGTGATCGTAACGCCTGAGACATTTCCCGCAATTACAGTAATGCCGAAAATAAAAGAATAGGCAAGGATCGCCTTAAAATGCACTGAGACGCGCGGTAAGAATAGTAGTAAGATGTGGCAGAAATATCGATTAAAAGAATAGAGATAGAAAAGAGAAATATTTTAATAAAAAATGTAGAAGAGAGGCTTGAAACATATTTTGTGAATCTGTCGGCTTTCTTCCTTCCTGAACAGTTATCGTATGTAAGCGAAATTGAAATTGTAATCGATAGTTCATGGTATTTTTTATTGTAAATTCTATCTTGTATCATAGAATGAAAAATGTAACACTTAATCTTTTGTGGATATTGCAGCATATTCTAATTTTGTTAAAAGCCTTTTATGATAATAATTTATTCTTATATACATTTTATACAATCACATACAAATTTAACCATCGCCAAAAATTTCTTTGGATCTGGCCCTCAAGTAATATAAGTAGTATAGGGGGAAATAATGTAATGCTCGGAAGTGATTTCGAATTAACGGAAATAACGTTTTAAGGTCTGTTACTTTTATTTATTTATTCTATTATTTTTAATTTTATTTAGTTTAGATTATTTATTTATTTATTTATTTATTTTTTTATTTATTTATTTATTTATTATTTATTTATTTTATTTATTTATTTTTTATTATTTATTTATTATTGTATGTATTTATTATTTATTTTTATTATTTATTTATTATTTATTTATTTATTATTTATCTATTATTTATTTATTTATTATATTTTTTTTTATTTATTTATTTATTTATTTATTTTTTATTTTTTTATTATTTTATTTATGTATTATTATTTATTTATTTATTTATTTATTTATTTATTTATTCATTATTTATTATTTATTTTTTTCCTTTTTTTCCCAAAACATCTGTTCGTCCGTCTGCGAACATCATTGCCCGTAAAACATTCATAGGTGTTTTTCAAAATGAATGTATCGCATTTGATTTGTCCCAATTCAATACCCTGCGATTAAGAAAAGAATTGTTTAATTTTTTTAGTACTTTACTTGCAGCTCCGGGACAATTTAACAATTTTCTCAAAAATTAGGTGGCTCAGGCCTTCAATTGATGTCACTGGATGACCTCTGCCCAGGAGGTCAGTGGATTCGTGTCTCAAAGGTGGGAGCATTTTCGACACTTTAACTACAGAGCTAGGTCGAATTTAGCCGTTTTCTGTGCGTGTTTCCAATCAACACAAGGCGAATGCCGGTGAGGAGCGGATCCAGACGATAATTTCGGGGATGTAGGGCATTATAGATTTTTGTTAAATCATAAACATATTTATTATATTATATATTATTTTGTAGTGCATAGGTACTGTACAATATTATTTTTAAATAATCCTAACAACCAGTGCCGCAGAGGAGGCCAGTCGAGAGATTAGAGCTTGCCCCGACTAGGGCGCTGCCCCGTTTGTATATGATACCTGGTTGAGGAATCCTTTGCAAGCCGATGGGTAGGTCGGCGCCGGTCTGGATATCCAGCTGGGTAAGATCAGCGCAACTATCACGATAAAAGTATACACTACACCTACTAATGACCTTGGCAGCTGACGCGCCCAGAATCACTAATCAATCAAAAAAAATGTTTCCAATTTTTTTTTCTTCAAATTTATTGCAATATAGAGTGAAACACATAAAGATGGCGTAGATTCGATTTTTACTTTTAACGCTAAATTTTCGAAAATTATAAAAATTTGAATTCTTTTCGGCGTCTTCCTAAAACTACAGTATTGATGTTAGAGATTTTTCTTCAAATGCTCTTTGTTCTTCGTAATTAGTTATTTAAATAATGCCGTATGATTTTTTTAGTAGTAGTAGTAGTAGTAGTAGTAGTAGTAGTAGTAGTGGTAGTGGTAGTGGTAGTGGTAGTGGTAGTGGTAGTGGTAGTAGCAGGAGCAGTAGCAGCAGCAGCAGCAGTAGCAGTAGCAGTAGCAGTAGATAATAGTATCCGCGTCGTAATTTTTACATCAGCAGCGTTTTGTATGCATGATTATATTTGTGAGTACATGTGCTTCAAATTATGTTTTATAAAGTTTCTCGAAAACACAAATCATTTCTATTACAATGGCCTCAAAATTTGCATTTTCAGAAACGCCCAAACGACATTTTCACAAAAACAGCTCCAAAAATGTTAATATAAATTTCTGTAGGGGCAGGTTTTAATCTTCTTTAATATCCTTAAGTTATATTTAATTTTACCATTAGGAGACCGACAAAAAAAAGAAAATGTGAGAAAGAGGTTCTTTAGTCGGCAATAGCTTGTAACTGCGAAGAGGTGGGGAATAACCGAAAAGCTAGCCTACACTAAAGTGATTAAAAAACTAACTAGTTGGCAAAAGTCTGTGCCATTCTGTAGCATCACTAGTTATGTTTCACTTTTGAGAATTCAAGAATGAGATCGAAAGTAGAAAGAATGTAGAACGCGACTTGAACTGGAGTCAGTGGTATTCTGAAGTGTGGTGTTAGGAGTTGTTTGACACCTGGAAATGTAATTTGAGACTGATATATATGTTGTCAGATCAAGCGCTCGAAAGTATATGGTATACTGTTAACTATTTTGCTTCTAGCTTTAAATGTGTTTTTTATGTGGAAGTCGCAATAGATCAATGTTGTCCCGTGCAGAAAGGTTTCTGTATTGTACGGTGATTGTGTCTCCGTGTATTTGGCGTTCCGTGGCATTCAATCCAAGCAGTGCTGCGCTGCTCAATATGGCTGAGACAAAAGTCAAGTGATGAGCCGTGAGTGTGAAACCTAATCATAAATCATTATGTAATCCATTTAACTCAGGGTAATTTTTCCCATAAACGTGAAACATGCTTTACTGAACTGAGAATGTGTAAAATAGTTCTGACGGATATTGTACGAAGGTAGTGCGTAGTCGGTGGTGGGCATTTTGACAGGAGTGTTTATCTCTGTTTTGACAGTATTCCAATCATGTTATTATAAACCTATGCTAGTATTAAATGGATTAAATCAGGTGAGGAGAATGAAGAGTCTATAAGTGTATAATGTTTAGAATATTTATTTTAACATTTAAACATATCAGGACTTAACCTCAGACTTGTGTTCTTGTAGATAGTGATGGAGGATAGTGTCAGCGTGAAATCAAACGATTCTGTGGCTACAAGCGATGAATACGAATTCGTAAATGGATGTTCTGCCACAAAAGGACTAATAACCATCGGTGAGCAACCCCTGTTGAAAATTGCAAATAATGGCAATCTTGATGATCTGAGGAAATCATTGAGAGAAGTTTTGAGTGAAGACTGTAATAGTGCTTCAAAAATGGAAAATAATTCTGTTAAACATGTGCCAGTGACACAAACTGTTAAGAAGGTTGGGCAAAGTAAATTTTATGATACTGAAAGTAGTAAGCCTATTGTTTCACCCATAAAAGACTCTGAGAAAAAGGATGAAATGAAGACTGAAAATGAAGAATATGAGGAGGAAGGTAATAATAATAAAACTAATAATATAAGTATGCCAATTTAATTCTGTTTTACATCAGTCATTTTCAATATTTTAAGTGTTAAATGTCTCAGTTCCAGATGTACAACAAGAATGTACAATATTTAGTGGTGTGACATACTTAGGTGCTGCTGCTATAAATGCACCTAAAAGTGAAGTTGAGATTCAACGCAACATGGGCATTCTTAATGAACAATCATCTGACCAGGGTATTAAAGTATCAGTGTCTGTTCCCAGTTCCTCAGATGGTACTGTTGTGTAAGTCTATCCCTATTGTCATGATAATTTCATTAATGGCATTGAATGTTTTGTGAAATTATTTGTTGTCATCTTTTCAGTTTATATGATGCTATATCCAATTCTGTAATGGCCCGCTATGAGATTCATCGTATCTTATTTTATGCTCGAGGTACTGCTGGTTCAAGAGAAGCATCTTGTTTTGCTTTTACATGGTCTCATGGAGATACTCAAGAATCAGCTATTTTTCAGTGTCATGTCTTCCGTTGTGATATTCCTGAAGCTGTGAGTATACTTATTGGGTTAATTTATTTTGTTGTTCCTCTTCTTGTTTATTTGATTATATTTTAACACAATTCCACAGTTTGCCACTTAAAATCAATTTGCATTTTTCATTTATTTAGTACATTGAAGAATGAAATAAACTCTCATTAATTTCCATTGATTTTAAATAACAAATTTAATTTATAATATTATTCTTCACACAACAATACTGATTTTTTCCCCATATTTTCATGGAAATATCATTTAATCAGCATTTAGTATCTTCATTAGATAACTGACTGTTTTCTTAATTTGCCAGTTATGACTAGGGGCCAGATTTATATGCATGCAACTTAATTATATTTAATGAATAGGTTTATTAAGTAAAAATTTCAAAAATTAACTCTATAAAGTATATTATTAACCCTTCGTATTACAGTTCCTCATAGTTTTTACAAAGTTTATTCATCCAGCCCTTAACTCTTACTAAACAGTTCAATGAAATTTGGTAGAAAAACTATTGTTAGAGGTATTAGTGGTATTAGTTTCTGCAATGAGATGACTGCCACTAACTACATTTAATAATTTGCATTACAACTATATTTATACATGATTATAAAAACCCCTTAACAGCCACCCTCATACCATGAAAATGAAAGTTCCTTTCTTTTAAGCATCCTGTTTCTCTCATATTTGTAGAGTAAGATCCCCTCTGTGACTTATGGGAGTTATAGTTGCCTATGTTAGTGCAGCACACTTACTGATTTTCAAGATTAATTTTACAACACTTAATACTCATAGCTATCATGATTTTCCTGTTAAATAGCAAGCCTATCAGATTAGCAAATTGATTAACTACTTAACTACAATATACCACGATTATAACAGCACTCATCACAAAATTAAGAATACAATTTATTAAAATAAATATGAATAACGATAAAAAACAAAATATGTATAAAAATTAGGAATTTGTGGAATATGAAGCTTATTAATAATAGAGGCAAAATATACATCATAAAATCAAATTTAAATAATTGATATTGTGGTTTTGAAAGATGTACAAGACATTAGTATTTAGAAGATTAATTACTTAGAAAATAAATTTTAATATTTATTTAAAAGTCGTTAAACCATTGAATTCATTTTTAAAAGTAATATAAACAATTGAATTGCAAAAATGAAAAAGTAAATCTGTTATCACCTTTGAATGACATATGGATTTATTTATTGCAGTTACAAAAACAAATAAATAAATTATATAAAATTTTGGGACAAAAAATAAATGAATTAAAAAAATTTTGTGATAAGATATGTGTCATTTAACACAATATTGCTTCAAGCAATAATTCAAAGAACAGTCCTTAAAAGTTTTATGTTCTCATGGCTTGCCTTTCACCACTTAGGTTCCGGGTTTGATTCCCATAGAACCTCATGTGAAATTTGTAATGACAAATCAAGATGGCATGCTTCACAGGTGAACCCCCTACCTCTATCCTAATTCCTTCCCAATGCTGGCCGCTGGATAGTGACACAGGAGATGCTACCTGGGAGTCCTCTTAACAACTGACTGCGGCAAGGCATGACGTTAAATGACCGATAATGTTAATGGAAGATTACTCCAATAAATAGCGTGATTATTAATGGAGGATTATTCCCAACCGCAAAGTGCTCAATATCTCCTGGAGCTTGAAGAAGTGTTGTGTCAATTCAGACGCAACAAATAAAAGAAGAAAAAAAATCAAATGTACCCAAACATTAGTTATTTTAATGCACCTGAAGCATTATAACCTACATCTACACATGATATAGAAATTTGTATACAAAGATGATGTCAATTTAGTGATCATCTCCAAATATTCCTTTGTTAGGTATTTGTTTAATTCTTTTAGACCATTTATTTAAATATAATTACTTAATTTAAATTCTGATGTTTAAATTCCTTAGAGAATTGGAAAACTAAAACTATTCTAATTCTTTCTTACCTCCTTGTCACTGATTCATAGTGAATTAATAATTTTCTCTTTATCTCGCTCACACTTTTTGTACAATTTAATTACAGGGATTTGTTCAAAATTAATTGAGTAATTATTATATTATACACATTATTAATTTTTATTAGCTGTTTGTGTAAAAGTTGTAGTTTTCAAGTTGGGAGGAATAACTTCTGGTTCTTCAGTGTATTTTCTGTTGTTTGAATTGTGTTTGAAATGCTATGAGAACATTTTTTTGGGTATAGTAGGCCTATCCAAGGTTACGGCTTTGAGAGGAAATTCTTACATAACAAGTGTTTATGTAACCCAGAGTTTTGTGAAACCTGGTATTAAAATATTGAATCTACAGGTAGTGGAGGCATTTTATTTTACTTACATGAATTTATGACTTGTAGTGAACATTGTAATGTGTGGTTTGTAAAGTATGAATGTATAAGAAGAAATCATATCCAGGAATTCTGTGCTGTTTACTGAGATACTCTTATCATGTTTTGTCTGTGGTGTGTTTCATTCTCTATGTACTTTGTGATTTTGCTTTCCATTTCCTTATCTTTTTGTACTTCTTAATTAAAGATGATAATTTATTTTTGTAATTCTATTTGCCGGGTGATTATGTTAGACAATAGGGGAGTAATTTGAATCGTTAAAAGTTTTTAGTTGAGAATCTGCTTCATTTATTTTCGTGGACAATAATGGGCATAAACATCTTGTCTGTGTAGGTAGGACAAGTGTCTGCATGCTTTGCAAAAGCCTTCCAACGTGTGCCGAAATCAATGATCAGCTCTGTAACATCAGCTGAACTTGGGCCCTCTTTGCCTGAGAAGGATCATGTGGAAGTATTCATTTTTGAAGTGAACATGGAAATAAAGGAAGAAGATGGAAAAGTAAGTAGAATATTGACTACTCATATATTACAGAATATGTTATGTGTAATATAATGTACTACATATGTAATGCAGAATTATCTTGGGCTGTCAGTTTTATTGCAACATTTTTTAACATAGTTTTGATATCTTTAAAGGGTGGTTTCAGCACTGTTCCAAAAGATCGTAGTGGTTTCAAATTACGTGTTAATGTGGAGAAGCAGTTGTGCCTCACCGTCCAACAAGTTTCAGAAGAGAACCAACATGAACTGGAAGTGGAAAGGTGCTTTGGTGTTCTTGTTAGTCCTGGTCGGCATGTCAAGCATTCAGATATGCAGCTACTTGAAATGGTGAGCCATTTTCCCACTTACCTAGTTAAATGAGTAGGAATGTTTTTAAGGATCTTTATAATATGATTTCATTAAATGATGTCTTTGGGGAATACTTCTTTGCTGATAGGCAATCCTGGTGAAGGATTTGGAAACGCATTTGTCAATTTTTTAATATTTGAAGGGCAGTAAGGAATTAGATTTGGAATTTGATAACATAATTTTGGTCTGGAATGAGAAGAGCTGGAATGACAATGACACATGAGTCATGGATTTCCTGGTGCAACACCATTAATTGCTCTTGATTTTCATATGTTGAATTTACTTTCCTTTAACTTATGTGAGGGAAGAATTGCTTTTTATTGTTGTTAATAATATACATCTCGCATCACGAATTTGGAGAATTTTAGTTATTAAATTTAAAGATGAAAGGAAAGAAATTTACAAATAATGACTAACATATTATAAACACATCCGACACACACACACAAACACGCACACACGCGCGCGCACACGCACACACACACATACACAGACTCAGAGACACATACAGATACCTTTATGTTAATTAAATTTGTGTTTTTTGAATTTGCTAATTGAATCCAGGTAGACTTCTGAAAGTGCATCTCCATTTCATATTGTGTGATCTTTAAGGACAAAAAAATATCCTGACTATTGAATTAATATGTGTACTAAAGTGTTTTTTGAACACCTAATTTTTGTATCAAATATTGCTTAGTTTCTCTTATTGCTTTTAGCAGGTTTCAATGGGCTCAGGTACTGGTGATAAACAATGCTACATTATTTCTGGTCACTGGGATCCTGCAGATCCAGCTTTTGAAGCACTAAATGTAGAAACTCCTCGTGATGGTCGCATGTATATTACTGTTGCTGTTGATTTGGTGATTCGAGGAATTCAGGAACCAGTGCGTTTTCTTGTGGAAACGCCTGTAAAAGTATATCCTCAAAATGAAAGGTTTTGGTACTTCAGTCGTCGACCATTGATTCAGCAGTTCTTTCTCAATCTCAAAGAGGTAAGTTCTCTTATCATATAAATTTATAAGTTTTTATTATGTACTTAATAATTACAAATTAACATTTGCAAATTATTATGTAGGTTCCTTCAAATGATGTCACAGAAGTTCACTATGAGGTGCTGAATATTGAAACGTCGGGTGAATTAGATCGAAATCGTATTAATTTGTCACTTAATTTAGCAAGTTTAATTCGTTCCCCTAGTATCTCTTCTATTGATATTGATACATTAACTCCAAAGGAAGAAGTGTCAGGTATTTCTTATATTGTCAAGAATGATATTATTTATGAAGATTGAAAGCAAAAAAAGTATTGTATGAAATTCATACTGATTGTTTATTCTTATTTCAATGTGTAGATGGTGATGAACCATTATTGAGTGGAACTGGAGAAGTTTCCAAAGACTGCTCTGAAGTGGAACTTGAGTCTTGGGCAGACGTGCTAGTACGATGGACCAGTACAAAGCAAAGACCCAAGCAGTTAGGGGCCTTAGTCCGTGGGGGCATACCAGAAGCTCTCAGGGGAGAAGTTTGGCAACGGCTGGCAGGATGTGAAAATGATTCAGCCATGATGGGTTCATATCGAATTCTTATTACAAAGGTAGCTATTTAAATGTTAATTTGATTATTTTACTTCTTCTTAGGGTCTCTAAGGTGAGATGATTGTTTAAATGTAATTGCAGGATAGTAGTTGTGAAAATGTCATACAACGAGACATTAATCGCACATTCCCAGCTCATCATTTTTTTAAAGAAGCTGGTGGACTAGGCCAAGATTCGTTGTATCGTATATCCAAGGCATATGCTGTTTATGACCAAGAAGTTGGCTATTGTCAAGGGCTGAGTTTCCTAGCTGCTACACTGTTACTACATGTAAGTTGTGCAGTGTTATTGATCACTGCATTAATTTTAACTTATGTGTTGTGTGTTAGAAGGATATGTAAAAAGTGATAAAATAATGTTTACAGATGCCTGAAGAACAAGCATTTTGTGTTTTTGTGAAATTGATGTATGATTACGGATTGCGTGACATGTATAAAGATGGTTTTGAAAACCTTCACATGAGATTATATCAGCTCAATCGGCTAATGGAAGTAAGTTTTAATTGCCCTACCCTACGTTTTTCTATTTTGGGTGTCGATTTATTTTATGGCTTAAATGTATATTTTTGAAATGAAAATGAGTACTAGTGTGTTTCATTTTAGAAGTATGTAATTGTTATTTTAGAGAAGTTAGTATTTCAGCATTGAATTCAAATAATTTTTCCCAGAATATAATTTTACAAGTCTTCTGAAAGGGCATTAAAAAAAATTGAAGTTAAATTGAAAATAAAGTTGCATCGAGATGAATTTATGGAATGAAAATGTAAATTTAAAGTAAAAGATCAGATTTGGGCTTAATTTGCTATTGTGTATTACATTATTGTTAATAAAAAAAATAAAAATTTCATTAAAGATGTGCTTTTCTCTTCTGCGTCATTTTCAGTTTATCAGACAAATTCTGAAGGTCTTTTTTGATTGGTTGTATCATGTTAAACATTTAATTTCTATATTTATTTGGCCAATTAATTTAATGGATAATGTCCAATGAATTTAATATCTGTTGATATTGCATTTGCTGTGTTAGAAATAACAAAAAATAATTATTTCTGTGACTTTTTGTTGTTGTTTTTCCCTCACACTTATATTTTGTTTTTATGTTCAGGAGCATTTGCCTCAATTGTGGCAGCATTTCTCAGAAAAAGGAGTGGAATTTCATATGTTTGCGTCACAATGGTTCCTCACTCTTTTCACTGCAAGATTCCCATTGTATTTTGTGTTCCATATTCTGGATGTTTTCCTTCTACAAGGTGTGGACACTCTTTTCCAAGTGGCTTTGGCTCTTTTGATGGTGAGTTTTGCTTGAGGGTTTAAAAAATTTTCAGTTTTTGATATCGATGCAAATAATATTTTTTGGAATTTTAGATGTGCAAGAAGGATTTGCTGCAGTTGGATTTTGAAGCAATTCTCAAATACTTCCGTGTCTCCCTTCCTAAAAAATGCCGTACCGAGGAAGTGGCTCGGCAACTTATGAGGTTAGCTACTAGTATAAAAGTCAAGAAGTTGAAAAAGTATGAGCAAGACTTTAATACCCTAAAAGGTGGGTCATGTTACTATGATTAAAAATAAGTACAATATACATATCTGCAAATATGAGAATATTAGGAGTGAGGTCAAGTTGATAGTTGAAAAAATGAGCTTGAGAAAAATAAACTTCTCATTTTCTTTAGGTGTTTCAATTTTAAGTCTTTCAACAAGAAAAAATTTAAGTGGGGAAACCACCAAATTTTGAATAAAATGGATCACAAGAAAGAGATCAGATTAAACTATTTAGTTGACTCATTAAAGAAAAAATTACATTGGAAAGATTTAAATTCGTATCTTGATTTCTTTGTAATAATGACTTTTAATGTTTCCAAATCTTTAACAAGATCTCAACAAATTAACTCAAAGGTCACAAAATTGGTTTGTGACCTTTGGGATAACTCAATAAAATACAGTTTTACATAGGTAAAAAAAGTACAAGCAAATAGTACATCCTGAAAAATGAAAACAGAAACATCTGATCGATGAATAAATGTTTTAAACAATCTAAAGTTGGGAAGAATATTGGAATAATAACCAAAAACTTCAATACCTATACTCTTCAAAAAGATTTTATGTCAGACCAGCAATAAAATAGATAATAGTAGATAGAATATATTCAATCCGGCCTCTATATTTTGCTGATGTCTTGGCCATTTTGGAGAATGTCCAACATAAAGCAACATAGAGCCCGTCTTTGCTTTAAAAACCTTTCTCCTAAGTATATACTTAAAGCACTTTGTGGTTTCACATGGGTAAAATTACATTATGTATTGTCGTCTCATCTATGAATTTCAGCATGCATTCCAGATTTATTTCTTTAAAATTGGAAATATTAGATGGCTTGATTTACAAATTTTGGGGAAATGTTTTTCTTTCCAAAATATACGGCATTGTAGAGAGTAGAAACCAAAATTCAAGGTATTGTGTAAAATGTGACTTGCGACTTTTTGGGTCTCGTGATTTGTGTGTTCAAGTGTGTGAATTCTTTTGTACAATATTGTATGCTTATGTTATATACATTTTGTGTGGTGTGTTTGTGCTAGCTTGTGCTTTCTGTTTGCAAGACAACAGCGCCTTCTTACTGTCAATTTCATTGAACCTCCTGAAACTTAACCTGCACAAAACGTTTTCCTTGAATAATATGATGGGTTTTTACCTCTTTACCAACTATTTCCATAAATATTTTCTGTTTGATAAAATTATTCCTTGACATATGGTAATCTAGTTTATACTAGATAAATCAACAAATGTTCATAGTATTTAAAATTCATTGATCTAGAGAACAGATTTATGTTTGTTTTAAATTGTGATATGTTATTGATTTCAAAAGATTTTTATTTGTTTTGTGTCTTGTCTGAATGAGTGTTACTTTTCTTCAGAAGACATCTTTGCGACTTCTTGGAAATCAAACTACATGCAATTCAATTACTAGTATGTCCTAATACATTTGTCTCTTTTAGAGCAATGCCATTTTGTATAGAAATTCATTTTATGTTATCACAAAACAAAATGACCCATTTTTATATTTTTCCCTTTTTTTGCATTTTTCATCGATTTCGACTAATAAACCTTTTTTACTTAATTTTTAATGCATTTTTCACTGATTTCATCGGTTTTTGATATCACTTTAATGGTACTTGTTTCAAAAATTATTTACAACAAGCAACAAATATTCACCACAGAATTCATATGTAGCCTATTCGATTTCTTCGCTAATATATTGTAATGTCAGCCATTGTGAGTACTATGTAATCTAAGGTTTCTGTGATGCCTATTGGCACCATTGCCATTTACGCCATTTTCACGATGAATATAAGCAGATATTTTCTTTAAAAGAACAGTCCAAACCAAAGTTTGCAGGCTGAATTCACTTGAACAAAAGGAAGAAACGTCAATTACATCATTGACATACTCAACAGCTTGAGTTGTTCATCTGAAATGATTTTGATATTTTTTTTACATAATTTTTCTTTTTCTTAGAGCATTTTGAAAGCATTTTATTGATCATTTTTGGCAACGTTTTAGGTTATCAAAACTCTTCCCCTAGTCATTAATAATATAATTATAATAATAATGAAAATAATGAAGATGATGATGATAATGATGATGATGATAAAATTTAATTTACCTTTTAGTAGAAAAGTATTTCTAACACTGTATTTTAGTATAGAGAAACTATCCATAATATTTTTTAAGAATTGGAATAACCAGATCCGTTGGGTTCTTCTTAAAATTGAACACATTGTTTTATTATTGTAACCAAACCCACTTTGTGATCCGTTCTATTTGCTATTTGGTATGCATGACCTGATGCATAAATTACACTTGTAGTTGAAGTCTACAAAAATAATTTTCCTATCCCAATTATTACATATTGTATAACAATTAGTTTTGTATAGAGAAATCTTTGTACTTAGAAGAACATCATTTGTTTCCTATTCCCTATACTAGGCACAGTTTTCAGATCAATGGATCATGCAATCCCTGCTATGAAAAAAATTCCAGCATACAATGTAATTGGCATAATTGGCTGTAGCAAGACCTGAAGTGGCATTATTTAAAATATTTCAAGTTGGGACTAATTGAACTTGCTTGGAAGTAGAACTGAATGTGAGAAAATTTGTTAACAAAGTACTGTTTATTAATTATTGTATTAATTACTAGTTTTTTACTTTTTCCTTGATTCTTTAGTGGGCAGTATTATGCATAATTATGTACTTAAGTAGTTCATTATGGAACTATTTTTTTCGTGTAGGAATAGACATAGTTGGTTGAAAAAATTTGAAATAGACCGTAATAAAGTATTTGCTAGTGTTCTAGTGTTAGTCTCTAGTTCATGTAGATCATTTCTAGTATTGTTAATCTGTATTTGAATTTAATTACTGTCTTTATTCAAATTAATGTGTTTGTTAAATCCAAAGGAAACAAAAATATTTTTTTTGTTCTTGAGTCAAAATTTTAATTACTAGATCATTGGTTCCTAAGTAGCTTGTGAGCCATGAATAATGAATGCATTATTTTCATTTGAAAGTGTATAAAAAATTGTTGTTTCAAAGTAATGTGTGTAACAGTAATATCCAACTTGTTTTTAAATGTTCATGGTCAATTTGTTGTTAATTTTTTCTTGATATTGAAAGATTTTAAGTATGAAAAGATTGTGCACTAAGGGAGTTTCTGACAACACAAGTGGATGTCGGTTTACATTACATCATAAATGTATTACTGATACTTACCTAAAGAGATTCTTTTCCTTTTGTTGAACTGTTCAAATGGTGATATTGGAATAACTAAAAAAGTGAATGTTTGTAGGCTGTTTTAACTTTTTCTTTCAAATGCAATACTTTCTATTGAATGTTTAAGAAGAACTTCTGGAAATAATTCTCTGTATCTTCCTCATTTCATTTTATTTTGATTGTCATCTGATACATATTCCATTGTCATTAATGTGAGTCCACTAAACTGGTATGTTGTAGTTCTGATATACTAAATCCTTACGAGGATTATATCACATCTTTCTTTTTCTAACCTTCTCCTTTAGCAATATACTCTTTTTCTTGTTCTTCAAATGTGCTTGGGCTGCCTGTCTGGTTTGTGCTGTGCATGTGGTAATCTTCCAGCATGTTGGCCAAGAAGTTCATTAATGTTGCTCCCAACAGAGGCTCAGGACAGTGCTGAACAATATAATAATGAATTGGAAAATCTGAAAAGTACGTTAATGCGGACGGAAGAGGAAAAAAAACGTCTTGAAGAAGAAGCTACCCGAGTAAGCAATACAAAAATTTTGTATAAGTACACATTTCATAATTTATTATTTTTGTCATTTTCTGAATTCTATGTAGAAGTTATAGTTAGAGCTATTGTTTAAACCATAGGTTCCCAAACAAATGACACTATTCTCATGGCAATGGAAGCATTAATCCATTATGTATCAAGGTTGAGTGTGGTAGCATTCAAATACGTGTAAAAGGGGGCTGTTTGTGACACCATGATAGCAGGTAGTGATGGGTGTGCTGCTATGGTGACCCTCTGCGTCAATGTATTGCCACAAATGGGAATACTGTGTTGTTGCATTGGTGGTATAACAGTTAGCATATCAATCTGTAATACTCAAATTTGTGGGCTTAAAACCAATTGAAGTCATGGATGTTTAAGAGCAAAGAAATCCTTTGTAAGCCTTCCTTTGGAGGGGAAGTAAAGCCGTCTGTTCCATGTTGTAGATTTACTGCATGTAAAAGATCCCCAGCCTAAAAGAAGCATCTGAACTAAATTCAAATCATTTGTTTTGTCATCTGAGTAACCTTTCTCAGTTAGGTGATGAAATGAGCTGAACCAAATTTGTGTGGTCAGACAGATAAAGCAGGGCTGCTGGTCTTGCCACGTAAAATAATGCGTCATTGAATTTAACATAAATGTGTAGGTACCGATACCCTCAAATAGAAGTTCAGTGATGTTGCATTCATAAACTTCATCCAGTGTGGAAGGGTTGAAAAAGTTTCATGCATATTACATCTGCTATCTAGTAAATTATGCTACATGTAATTATATTGCTATATTGTGCTCTTCAGGGGCTCCGAGACGTGTTGCTTCAATTAATAACAATGTGGATGTATGGACGTAACA